CAGCAGATTGGAGTTGAAATTTTTTTTTAAAGATTTTATTTTTTATTTATATGAGTACACTGTAGTTGTTTCCAGACACACCAGAAAAGGGCATCAGATACCTTTACAGATGGTTGTGAACCACCATATGGTTGCTGGGACTTGAACTCAGGACCTTTGGAAGAGCAGTCTGTGCTCTTAACCACTGAACCATGTCTCCAGCCCTAGAGTTGAAATTTTGATTCATTGACCAACTGGATAACCTTGTGCCAGTAACAAAATCCTGTCCTCAGCTGGGCGCGGTGACTCATAGGCTCATCATCCCAGGCTTTGGAGGCTGAGACAGGAGGACTGTCAGCCTAGGCTGTACAATGAGTCCCAAGCATACCTGAGCTACAGTGTAAGACCTGGCCTCCAAGCAGTAACAACACTCTTGCCACTTGGTATACAGAATGCAGTAAGTGTATTTAGGTAAGTAAGCCTGTGATATCTGCGTTAGTATATACAGTATATGTGCCACATCATGAGTAAGATATTTCATATCAAGCCCGGATGAGGTATTTCATACATACATGGTACTCATACAGATTAAAATGCATTTGATGTGGCTCCAGTCAGGAAAATCAAAAGATAAACATACTGTTTTGTGTATTTTGGTTCTAGGTTCTAAATATTCTAAACAGGAAAACCAATCTATTTGGAGTTTTTTCCATACTTTTCTTTTTTCTTGTTATTTTATTATTTATTTATTTTACTAATTTATTTCATTTGTGAGACAGTGCCTCACCCCAGGATGTCTTGGAATTCACTGTATAGCCCAGACTAGCCTCCTGATAGTCCTTGCCCTTCAACTGTTCAGATTATAGAGGTACACCCCTATTTGGAACTCCTTTTCAACCTTTGGGTTTTTTGGTGATGGTGTTTTTTGTTTGTTTTGTTTTGTTTTGTTTGAGATAAGATCTTGTTACATGGTCCAGACTGATCTTGAACTCATGACTATCCTTCTGCTTCAGACTCCCAAATGATGATGTCACAGCAATGTACCACCATGCCTGGCTTTTCAGTTAACAACAACAACAAAAACTTATACAAGGTTTAGTGGTTCACACCTGTAATCCCAGTTCTTTTTTTGTTTGTTTTTCAAGACAGGGTTTCTCTGTGTAGCCCTGGCTGTCCTGGAACTCACTATGTAGACCAGGCTGGCCTCGAACTCAGAAATCCACCTGCCTCTGCCTCCCAAGTGCTGGGATTAAAGGTGTGCGCCACCACCGCCCGGCAGTAATCCCAGTTCTTAGAAGGCAGAAACAGGAGTACTGCTGCAATCTTTAAACCATCCTGAGCTACAGAGAATTCCAGACTATGTAAAAACACCCTGTTTAAAAAAAAAAATCTAATGATTTAGTCTATATTCATACACAAGAGTCTTTCATTTCTTTTAAGGATTCATTTGAGGGCATTGAGGAAAGCATTTACATTTACTGAGATTAAAGACAGAAAGAAAAATCACACTATAATAATGAGTCTCCATGATATGTCCCTCATTTTAAAGTCGAAGATGAAACAACTTGCAGTCAAAACTAAAATCCTTCTTTGCTAGTTTTTCTTGCTAAACTCTGTGCACAAGCCAGCCACTCACTCTGCCGTGCTAACGGATCTCCCCCTTGTGCCTAAATTTTGTATTGAATCCCAGCCGCGCTAAAATCACCAAACACATGTGCTGTGGCTGTCCCGGGAAATGTGCAAGTGCTTTAATCAACCTGCTAGAATTATCTTCAGTATGAACGTGTGGGTTTCCTTGTTTACTTTGTAAAAAGTCTAAAAATGAACTGAGGTAATATTCCAGAAACTGTGCAAGGAAGTGTGATAGATCCCAAAAAGCAAAAGCAGAGAAAAGAGACCAAACTGAACAGGAGTCTCTGCTGTGACCATCAGTGTAGGCTGAGGGTCCGAAGCCATAAAGGTTCCCTGTATGTAGCTTACAAAGGCAGAAGAATATCAATCTTGATAGAACATTCTGGCAACCATTAGATACCAGAATACTAGTACATTTTTCCTTGTTCATAGCGTTCCTAATATAACCTGGCATCGAGATTTAATGTAGCCCAAATAGACCAAGAAGAACATCTAGTTTCACAGGATTTCATGAGGTTATGACTTGGGTGATAATGTTAAGAGACCACGGCACATTGATTTAATGTGTCTCCTTCAAAATTCAGGTGTTGAATTAATGGCCGATAGGATGCCATTACAAGTTGGGGGCTGCCGGGCGGGCGTTGGTGGCACATGCCTTTAATCCCAGCACTTGGGAGGCAGAGGCAGGCGGATCTCTGAGTTCGAGGCCAGCCTGGTCTACAGAGTGAGTTCCAGGACAGCCAGGGCTACACAGAGAAACCCTGTCTCGAAAAAAAACCAAA